CTTGAGCTATGGCGCGGCCCTGGCAGAACTTGGTCTCAGGTGTTTTGTTGTAGTTTTCTTCTCCATTTTTATAGTAAAGTAACCCTGACTCTCTCTTTCTATCTATTTTTATAGAATACCGGATGATGGACAAAGTCCAAAAACTCAGTAATTCTGATTGTTATACACCACCGTAAAAAACAATTTAGAATTAAGTGGTTTAACCACTAGGTGACAACACATGCACGTAATACTTGTGAGGCATTTCCTTTGAGTTGTTCGCCTTCCGATGGTAGCCATCATTGGCCGAAAGTTGTAAAGATTCTATTTTATTATTAAAATATTCTTGTCCTTGCTGGAATTCAATATTAATTCAAGAAGTTGTGTTTGCATAATTCGTTATATATCTCTGTTCATTCTGTGTCCCCTATTTGTAACTTAAAATTTATCTTATATCCTTCACGTCCAAAACCAGACAGGAGGCTTAAGTTTTGTTTTTATTACTTTAGCTCTGCTTTACAGCCCTGGCTCCTGTCGTAGTTATGAGAAATACTTGCAATATAAGTTGTAGTGATATTAGTTACTTAAATTGGTCTGTATTTTTTAAATCGTCAAATCATAACTTAAATCGGGATGTATCTTGAATGACTCTGAATCATCTAAGAAGGAAATTTTCTTTTTTTACCACGTCCTCGTAGACCAACGTCATGTTTACCTCTATAATGTATTTTAGTTTTTAGAGATCTTTACAATTCAATAATTCTCGTAGTAATATCTCTCTAAATATTTCCTTATGTCTTGTCTAATAAAGCAGCTTTTTATGAATACTTTAGCCTTTTAGTTTACGCCGGTGGTTTCACTTCAGAAAAATATTATATGAATTGAGCAATGTTCCTCTTATGCTTCAAACAACTTTATTTTAGCAAGTAAAGAACTTTAGCTCATAATAGTAAAGATTTGTTAAGTCTTAGCTCGTCTTTTTTTGATTGGTTAGAAACAAATTTCCTGTTCTTAATTAAGGTTACGTTGTATTGTCTTCGTAATAATTCTCAGTGAGTTTGCAGGAACGAAAGGAAAGTTTTATTTTATAGTTTTGAGATTTCTGAAAATGACTTCTTGCTCCAGAGATCTTGATAATAGACAATGAAGAATGGTTTATTCATTTCCTTCTGATTCAAATATGGGAAATAGAGGTTATTTCGAAGTTAATAAAGCACCGTAAATTTTATAACATAAAGCACAGCATTTCTGTTCTGCATCTTTAGGTACCATTAGGAAAGATACGAAAGTAAGAAACTTTCACAGAGGAGAAGGAGCGACATCTCAGCAAGTGCGCCTATACTGATTATTCTTCCTGACCACGTATTAGTAAACATTCATATTGAAACCGAGACTTTCAAGGCGATGAACATAAAAATTATCGTATTATGGGTTACGACACCGTTTAGTGTGGTAGATGCATACCAGTGTTATTGAGGAACATGCTGCTAGGAGCCGGGATAGCGACTGGCAAAGGGCTCGACAACAGAAGGGTCGCAGTTCGAGTCCCTGTAGGGTCAAGAATTATCTTTCTCCACATTGTCCAGACCGGTTCTGGGGCCCACCAAGCCTCCTATCCAATGGATACCGGGTTTCTTTCCCGGGGGTAAAGCAGCAGGGGCGTAAAGTTGACCACTCACCTCCAACTGGTGCCGAGGTCAAGAATATGTGGATTTATACAACCACTCCCCCATATGCTTACATCTTCGGGGTAAGGTGGATATAGCTGGAGACATTATGTTGTTGCTGCCTCCTTACCATGCTAGACGGCGTCATAACCCAGAATGAAGTGAGCACCAAGTTTACTGTGTATCAACCAGAATACCGAAAGTTGAAGGACTCAGCTTTGTGCCCCTGCCCAGTTAATTAAGCACTATGGCGTGAAGATGTATGGAGGAGTGGATGTATAGAGCCACATTTTCTTTATTTCGGCACTAGTTGGAGGTGAGTGGTCAGCTTCACGCCCCAGCCGCGTTACACCCGGAGAAAAAGCCCCCTCTCCCCTACCCATTCGATAGGAAGCTGGGTGCGCCCCAGGAGCGCCCTAGGCGCTATGGAGAAGAAAATCTTTTGTCCCTGTCGGAAATCAAATCCCGACTCCTCAGCCGTCCAGCCCGTAACTCGCCTCAATACCGACTGGGTTGTCCCTGCACTGTAACATAACGAATGCTAACAGATTACCTTGGAGCCTAGATAGCTCAGTCGGTATAACGACGGGATACCAGGTTCAATTGACGGCAGAGAGAAATGATATTTTCTCCACAGGCCCGAACTGCCCCTGGGGCCCACCCAACCTCCTATCTAACGGGTACGGGATCCTTTGCCCAGGGGTAAAGCGACCGGGGCATGAAGCTACAATCTCTTTCTAGTGCCGATGTCAATAAGTGGAACCATACCTCCGCCTCCCCATACGTCTTCTTTGCGTTGTGCTTAATTAATTGAGGTCAAGGACAACATTACCTTTGCGTTTTTAGTAAATTACCCTTGACGCGTAACGAAATGTTTGTAAACGTGTTTATTTTTGGAAATTACGTATTTTCTGGAGGCCTGTAAAACACTACGTATGAAACTTGCTGCTCCTCTCATGCACTGTGACAGAGGATTGGCGTCTATCCAATTGGGCCCGTTAGTCTCGGTCACTGGGCTTACCGGACGCAGTTCAGCAGAACCCTGACATCTGATATGGAAGCTGTTTCAGTTCTGCAGGGCTGTATACATCAGTCACGCCTCGTACAGTCGCAAGCATCCAGCATAACATTTGTGTAATGAGCGGACCATTGTCACAACTCTTTACAGTTGTTAATAGTACAAACTAAAGTTTAAATTGAAGAGCACTCTCTTCTGTAATGTGACACTATAATGTTGTAGAAACGTACCGACATTTCGGAGGAACGTACTGCTTCCTTCTTCAAGTCGTAGAGTAAGTTAAGCAAGTAGCAAAGCAGACTACTTGCTTCCGGCATGGTTAGTGTGAAGATGGAAATAGTACATTCTTCGGAAACGTTAATATGCACCTACCTAACTACATAGTTTGATAACCCAAATGGCCACAGTTTGAAACTTGATCATTGCGTAAACCAGAAATGTTTATATATTTGTTGAAATATGGCCGGACTTGTTACTGAATAGAGGCCTGCTTGTTTTCCGTGTGGTTTACTTTCATAAGCGTTCAATTCAACAACACAAAAATGACACAGAAGTATTGTTAAGTCACTTTTTGAAATTTATAGTGTTTTATCGGCATTGGTAGACTACTACCAGGTTGTTCGGGGTCACACACCAGAAGATAGTCCCTTTCATAGTCCCCGCCTTAAGAACATCATATCTCACTTCAGTTTTATTCGTGATTTATTTAATTACAAATGGCATTTGTTTATTTATTAATGACTAAATAAGTCATTTATTTATGGCTTATTTATTTTTTATTACTGACATATATTTATGGCTTATTTATTTATTTATTAATGACTCATTTATTTATTTATTTATTTATTTATGGCTTACTTAACGACGTTCGTATAGCGTCGAATATTAAGACTAGCGAATACTGAACTACAACGATTGTCGAAGGGAGCGATAAGCCCAGAGGAATAGAGAAGTCTACTTGTGGTACCCGTTCGCCGGGTTGATATTTGGAACTGGAATATATAGCAGCAATACTAGTCACTAAATTTCGTTAAAAAAAGAGGAAAGTTAAATTTGTCCTTGTGCTTAATTACTTAAGCACCATGCCATGAAGATACATGGGGGTGCGTATGTATAGCTCTACCATTCTTGGCCTAGGCATTTGATGGAGGTGAGTGGTCAGCTTCACGCCAACGACATTTTACCTCCGGGGAAATATCCCCCGGTACCCATTGGATAGGAGGTTAAGTGGTCCACAGAACAGGAAAATATTGAACTGTCTGGAATCGAACCCCGGCCGGCCGGCCAGAACCTAGCCAATCGCTCTACCGAATCAACTATCCCGACTCCTCCAGTAAATTTTGATTTTTATTAAATTTAATCGGTTAATTGATAAACGGGATATTCCTGCTTTTAAACCATTCCATTTCATAAGGAACCGACTCATAACCATATGAGTGACTTCTTTGCCATTTCGTTTAGCTTATATTTGTAATAGTCACCAGGAAGACCAAGACGGATGTGGGCGGAAAATATTGAAATAGACTTGATTGCTCTGGCTCAGGATATGGACTAGTAGAGGGCTTTTGCGAACGCGGTAATTAACATTCAGGTTCCATAAAATACTGAAAAGTTCTTTGGTAGCTGCAGAACTGGTGGTTTCTGAGGAAGGAGTTAGTTAGTTAGTTATATTTGCAATAGTATTCAGTGTGGTAAATACTTAACGAAGTAAAAAGTAAAATAATTTGTGACTATGAAGTGTGATATGAATATTGTTATTAATTTTTCAACAAAATGATCGTGTATGTAAAACAAAAAAAATCCGTGGTTTTAGTCCGCAAGCGAACTATACCGACTAAGCGATCGCCGCTTGTCGCCGAAGTTAGTGCCAACTTTAGCAGTTAGAGAGTGTCGCGTGGTCAGCGCAACGAATCCCCACGGCCATTAATTTGGTTTTTCTAGACCGGGATCGTGTAGGTAAATGATAAAATAATTATGTGTGAAATAAACAGCGCAGTCGTGAAGAAACTTATGCGTTGTGGACCGGCCCGACTTAACAGGAGATATGTCTGACACTTCCGCGTGCATGCGCGATCGCAAAGAGGGATCCTAATCTGCAGTATATACGTACAATACTGCAAAGAATACTTTAGGATAATAGGTACTGGAATTTGAGTATGCTTTCCTTTGTTAGACCTGTATAAGTATCACATTGTGGCTCCATATTCAAACTAAAAAAAAAATTGTGCCTTTTTTTTTTCTCTGCTGCTCCTTCAGAAAACTTTTGGCCTCCCCGGTTCAAAAAAGAACCCTACGAATTTGTGTGCATTATGGGCCATATTGTGCTTTCTTTTCAGGATGGACTCCGCCGTCGAATGGACAAATTGAAGAGTTCGATTGAAGAAGCTAATCAAGCCGTTGATAGGGAACGGCAGAAGAACGTTAGTTTACTGCATCTCATCTTCCCTCCAGACATCGCTAAGAGGCTCTGGCTAGGTCAGTAGCCCCCACTAAATCTTTATTTAACAGACACAAAACATTTTCTTTGCGCCACGTTTTCACCTTCACATAAATAAACTTCTACGTTACACAGAAAGAAGCATGAGTAAGATCTGTGTGGTAGGCCAGCGTAATTAAGGTAAAAAGGTAAATTTATCCCCGTACTTCATTAAACACCGCGCAATGAAAACGTATGCAGAAGTGGAGATTCAGTGCCACAGAAGGAGTTGAGAGCCCACCTTCACGACGAGAATGCTTTACTCCCAGAGCTCCTTGTACCCACTGGATAGGAGGTGAGGGACTTCAGATCCTATCTGGATATGGCGGAGAAAAAAATGTAGGATTTGAGGTCTTCACGCCGGTGACTATGAAGAACGCCGTCTTCTGGGATATGGCGCAGTGTAGATCTTGTGTGAACCGATTACAGAACTCGATGTTCCATAGCCGTGCTCACAAAACCTCGCCTGCGCCTATCCTCAGAGAGATTATTCTAGTCCACATCCTCAAAACATATTCCTTTAAAATTCGTTTTATTATTATCACCATCTATTGATGCCAAGCCGGTCACGGTAGCCGAGCGGTCTAAGGCATGTACTGTCTTCGCTCGCTTGGAAACTGGGGTCGTGGGTTCGAATCCCACTCAGGGCATGGATGTTTAGTTTGTGTGTGTGTGTCCGCGTTTCTCTGTGGTTGTGTACAGGTAGAGGCCTTGCGACGAGCTGATCACCCGCCCAAGGAGTCATACCGAATGTGTAAGATCTAGAAAAACCGAAGTGAACGGAGTTCATGGAGGTAGGCCTAGGCCCACTGGGGCTGTAGTGCCAAGGAAAAAAAAAATTGATGCCAAAGTCACGCAAGTGGCCTCTTTCCTTTGGGTTTTCCAATTAATTTCGAGATGATGTGTGTTGAAATTTATCAAACCTAAACAAAAAACATGGGACAAAGCCCTTGTTGAAAAATAAAGATTCGTTTAGCTTGTCAGAAAATACTCCACATTTAATGGAATTTGAAGGTTCGTTATTATATTTGTAAGCGCCTGTTTGAAATCATATAAATCCACTCTATAGCTTATGCCTTATGCCTGTCTGTTTTATTATTATCTTACTAACTCTTTCATGTGTCCCAAGTGGTCTCTTCCTCATGAGGTTTCCTAATTAAAAGTTTATGTGCATTTTTTCATCTCTCCCATGCGTGCCATATGAACCACCTACCCCGTCATCGTTTATTACAAACTTTCTCATTATGAAAATTTCTGCATTCTCCTCTCTTAGTTCCAAATATTCCCTAGTTGGATGAGACACTATGCTACAATCCGGAAGGTCGCGGGATCGAGTCCCGATGGGGTAGATTTTTTCAAGACCTAATCATTCCAACCACATTATGGCCCTGGGGTACCAGGAATCTTCCTGGGAGGGGGGGTAAAGGGCGGCCGACGCGTGAGGCTGACAAACTTACCGCCGTCTTTGAGCCTATTGTCTAGAGAAACATGGGAGCCACCACGGCTCACAAACCATTTTGCCTTCACGGCCTGTTATAGGGATGGCTTTACTTAGTTCCGAATATTTTCCTCAGCACCCTCTTCACAAATAACTTCAGTCTATTTCCTCCCCTTAAAGTGAGAAACCTAGTTTCACACCCATACAAAACAATATGTAGGCTTATTATCAGAATGTGAGGATGCTGTCTTACTGTTTAATTGCTATTTGCAGGGCAGCCAATTGAGGCGAAGACCCATGATGACGTAACGATGCTCTTCAGCGATATCGTGGGTTTCACATCGATCTGCTCAACAGCGACACCCATGATGGTGATCAACATGCTCCAGGACTTGTACAATCAGTTTGATGTCTTCTGTGGCCAGCTGGATGTGTATAAGGTAAGTACCTCAAATATATCATTTCAAAGTAAGCTTACTTTGTTCTTAAGACACTAAGATGATATTAAGGCCGCACCATAGCTCAAGCGGTTAGTCACTGGCTTCCCACTGCGGGGGCCCGGGTTCATACCCAGGTCTGGTCAAGTGGGATTTGTGGTGGACAAAGTGGCGCTGGGGCAGGTTTTCTCCGAGTACTTCGGTTTCCGTTGCTCCACATTTACCATCATCTATCATCTGGGGCAGGTACAACAGGTCAATTTTGGCCGCAGTACCAAGTGGTCTCAGTCTCACCCTACTAAGAATAATAAAAAAAAGATGATATTAAATATTATTGTCTTTTGGATTTTGATGTCCTGTAGTTTGTCAGAAATGTAGCTATAGTTCAGAGAATTTGCTATCTTCATCTTCAGTGCACCCTATATCTGGTTCTTTCAGATGGTTTGATTTATTATCATTATTTATTTAAATTGCAAAT